CACTCGTAACAAATTGAAAGCAACGTTATTTTGTCTAAAATTGTGGAAAACGAAAAGTGAATGAATGAGACGAAAACAAACGACAGCAGTAACAGAATGATCGATTGAAAACCAATTTAAAAAAAAAACAGCTTTTGACGATTTACAGATGACTCATCTGATACAGCAGCAACAGACAAGAAGAATTTTAAACTCGTTCAGCACCATCACCACCATTGCTAAAAACAGTAGCCGCTACAACGGCACTTTCATCTGCTTTTAGCTGGCGGCAGCTGTGCGCTATTACCTTACTTGGTTTTGAATCTTCATCTCATACTTTTTTTAAGCTTTATGAAACTAAATGACACATCGAATTTAGTGTACAAATTTAGCCGAAATTAATCTGGCGCAAAAAAAGTTACACTATATTCAAGTAGAATATCATTTTAAAAGTTTTAAAGCTTTCAGGTACTTTTGACAGAGTTAAGACGCTATTTATTGAAATCTTTACTGTTTTATCTCTAAAAACATTTTTCCCTTCATACGGAAAGAGAAACGACAAAAACTATTTCTTATTGGTTTCACTCACACGCTGATTTTTTACTGGAAGGCGTATTAGAAAGTCTTTAACAAGTTATCAATATTGACAGTGTTCAGAATCTTTAGCCTATTTTTAATGTATTAAAAACTGAATTTTTTTCAAACATAAATGTTAGAGTTTAGGTTTATTTTGTTAAAAAAAGTTTTTAAAGTATTTTATATGTTAACTAAGTCTTCATCATTGCCTAACAAATTTTTTTAATTGACCTTAACGACATCAAAAATTAAAATTGCAATTTCATTGTTCATTTGATTTCAAAAGCACTTTCTTAAATCATCATTTCCAAGTAAATATCTGTTAGAACAAAGAAGCTCACTGAGAGACTTCTAAAAGTAAAGTTTTAGCCTGTAGTTAACTGGTGTTTTATCAGTGGCATAAGTCCTTATCACTCGATGGCTACAAAGTTTTTACAGTTTCTGATAAACCCAATTCAGTCGACCGTCATTACAATTATTATCTTTATTTTTTGATAAGTTTTGTTCAACGGCATTATCATCGACGATTGTTGTTTTGGTAGGAGAGAAAAGGAAAACTGAAAAAAGCAGAAAGACAATCAAGACGTTCTCGTCAAATATGACATACGGTTTAACAAATTTCTTGTCGGAGTATTGATTCTAAAGAATTTGTCTTTTGCTCTATTTCATCTAATGTTTTTAACCCTCAATTTGACGCAACAGCGATCGAATGCAAGAAGGGAATTGTGCGATTTCTGATTTTTAATCGGCTCAGTTTTTCACAAGTGTAATTGCATTCTAGCAGCTAAAAAATTGTACTCCTTCTCCTTTTTGCAATATAGGTCACGAGCTTTTCGCTGATCAGCTCTAGAAGTTCATTTGCGAAGAGGCGTAAATGAATCGAGCTGTTGCTTATCGTTTAAAAATATTTCGAACTGTTTAGATTACGGTTCTTAATATTTTACTAAGACTTTACAAACACTACCTTTCACATGCACTTAGTTGTCGTCCTAAAATTAATTTTCTAGTAATTTCAGCAGCAAACGGTAATTTGAATAAATTCAAGAATTTATTTTGGTAGAGTTCCTCATTTTCTTAATTGATGAATGTATTATTTCTATAAATAGAAAACTTCTTAGTTGAGCGTCAGCAATATTAACTCGAACTGAGAAAAAATGGTCTTGTGTTCTGTGTGCCAACTGGTCTATACACTCAGTGAATTCAGCAAAATTTTTGACAATGAATATCAGCTATTTGAACTCATGATCTTCTAGTACAGATTATTTATCATAAGGTTAAGGTTGTGAAGAAGCTCCTGGCATGCAGAACTACGAAAATCTGAAACAGCTCATCCTGTTGTTTAGCTAGAAAGATGTATTTGACTCTCACTGTAAATTCTTTACAAATAAAGGCTTAATGCTTCTGATGTGCTTCCGTTGTACTCAGTTTTTCTGTCACCTAAGGTACTGATTATATTGATCTGTCTATAAGATGTGCTTATTATACTTCTGTTGATTTGTTAATTTTACATGTTCGTTTTAACGTCGCATAAATTCATTTAGGCATCAGAAAATCTCTTGTTAAACATACACTGTATAAAAATACGATAAAAGCTAGCTATATGATTAATCAAACCAAACTTTCTTTGCCTGATTACCAAGTCAGGTAAACCACCAGATTACTCTCAAAATAAGTAAGGATTGGTAATCAAGTTATAAGATACGATTTAGACATCAGAATAGATTATGAAATTAAATTATCTTTACATTTCTACAACGTACAAGAATAAATCTTTTGTAAAAATTGAATTTAAAGCAAGCAGTAACAAAGTTTAGTTACTGAATGTATTAACACAAGAACTTTTTTATGACAGGGTTCAAAATATTTGAAACGTTTTATGTGTTCTCTTAGGCTGAAATTTTATTGAAAAAAAGATTAGCTGCAGCACAAATAGGCCTTTGAACACCATTTTAAAGATTAGTCATCAGTGTTAAGAAGTTCAAACAACAGTAATTCAAAAATCGTTAATTGAAAAATGTAGCTCTTAACTATAACTCTTTGAAATAAGCAAAAACAGAAAAGAACAATTCTAATTATTAGTAAATAGAGAATTTTTGCTGGCCAATAATAACACGTCTTTTTTTTTAAGTATTCAAATTGACAGGTATTTTTACACACAACGTTAAGAGGTTGATAAACAACATTGAGTTTACTAACTAAGAGTTATTTAAAAAGTGAATTAAAACAACGACAATTCGTTTACAGAGCAGTAATGAGTAATCAAATAACGAGAAGGAAATCGATGGGGGCTGCAACTTACAAAGCTATTTATATTTTGTTGTTTGTTGTACTGACTCATCGCTGCAGTTTAAACTGACTTCAAAATATTAATTGACCAAAACAGTTTTTTTTTCTTTTTTTTGTTTTGCAGAACTCAAAACTACCAATTTTAAACTGGAAGTTATTCATAAAAATGCAATAACATAAAGCTTTTTTTTTTGTTGTTTTAAACTTTATTCAAAAGGTTTTAATCACTTCAAAGTAGTTTTGAAAACAATACAAAAAAAATTGTAAAAAAAAAATAACGGTTCAAAAGACTATTTACCAATTAATATCGAAAGGCAGTAATAATGCCTACATAAAAAGAAGTAAAGTGAATGAAAAACAGAAAGGTCACAATTGGTAAATGACATACTGGTGACAGTTTTTACAGATAAATTTTGAGTAGCATTTTCGAAACAAAACTGACGCTAATTTATTGCTTTAATGGCTTAAGAATTAAAAAAAACTAAGCAATGTAATAAATGAATTTGAACAGATAGTAAATATAAAAGTAAAAAAAATTGCCAGTCAACTTTTTTTTGCTCAAAACAATAAACGAAATTTGAATTGATGACAAATGACTTATGTCGTAGAACAGCGCACAAATATTTGCTACAGTTTACTTCAATAATTTACTTCATCAGTGAATAATTGAAAGTCTAAGTTTTACTGGTAAAAGTATTCCAAAATAATAGCATAGTAGAAATATGAGATCACTATACTTCAGCAAATTATCCTTTCCATTCTGGCTCTTGCAAAACAAGTATGTCTTGATGCCGACAATTTCAATACACATTTGATGGACAACCGGACTCTGCCACTGGTGCAAGACGGTATGATACAAAAAAGCAGTAGCAACACTGGTAGTAATGATTAGTAGTAGTACTGGCACTAATAAATATCTTGGATTCTCTACTAGCACCTTTCTACCTGCATTCCTCCATCGGTGCAATCAGATCCACATTGTCGAGTTCGTACACGTACCATCTGACCACGTAACTTGAACTGACAGTTAGACCATTCAGACCATTCCATACTCGCATCACTGTTGTCACTTAACTAAAGCACAGAAGCTTAGTACAAATCAGCATTACAAGCTGCAAGATCTTTACTATAAAGCCCCAGCAAACAGAATTAAGAAATAGATAAAATTTTATTATTGCTAATTAATCTTTTTTCTGCAGCCCGTTGCCTTCATTACCTATAAAGCGTTCCTTTTTTTATTTCATTTTATTTCACTT